TCAAGTACCTCCACACCGAGTCCGTCAGGAGCAAATTATTCCAGCTTTGATCAACAATCTGTAAAATAATACAATTCATATTGTAAAAGTATCGGGAGTGTCACTTCTGCTGCTTTGAAATTGACAATATAATTGTTATAAATAATAAATTAGAATAAAATGAATTTCCCTTGTTATTTCTTTTAAAAAATAAAAGTTATTGATTTAAAATAAAAACGTATGTAATTGCGATTAAAATGCTTATCATTTGAATTAAAATTTGTTATACGTCAATTTAAAAACTATAGGTTTTTAGTTTGACAGTTCTACAATTTGATTTGAAAGTTTCAACTTTTAAAAGTAGAACGAGTTTTGAATTGACAGTTAGGGGACTTTAGTTTTGAATGCTAAATACTTTCTACCAAAAAGAACCAACGCTAACTTTTAATTTTACCAATGTTTTTTTTTTAATTTAATAACGATTATTTTTTGTGTGTATTATCCAGGGGGAACGACACTTAAGGATTATCCCATTTTTACCCAAATGTCTCATATAGTTTTCAACGTGCTGACAATTTCAATTCATCCTATCCTGGGAGGGAGAAGCAAATACTACACACAAAATCTAATAAATCAATCACAATATTGCGCAAGAAAATTCTTGGCAAATAAAAATTATCAAGTAATTTGTTCCCATAATGAGGGGTTTCGGTTTTTCGTGTCTCTGTTGTTTACGTGTTATTGTCGAATGACTTAATGCTTGTGTGAAGTTGGAGTTGAAAAATCACTTGTAGAGACTCGTAGTGAATCAGCCAAAATGAAGTGTCAGGTAAAATACTGCGGCCGAAACAGCCGAAAATTATCCTGGATTGGGTTTTTTGCGCTTTCCTACTGATTATATCACAAGATCCCTATGGATTAAGTTCTGTCGGATGGATTCCGGAACCGGCGAAATTAAACCAAGCTCGCGAGTCTGTAGCGTGTGTTGACGGTACAAGTGTTTTTCATTTTATCAATGTTGCTATGATCTTTTTTAATTATTTGCAGGCCCATTTCTTAGAGGACTGCTTCCGCGTCGATAAAAATGGGAAGAAAACGAAAAAAAGATGCCGTTCCCGTTCCGTCGATTGAAGCTTTCTTGCTACCTCCTGAAGACGAACCGGAAGAGAGCGATCGGTTGTTGGACTTTTATAAATCCCGTCCCCTCTACTCTTCGCCGGCTCTTCTGGATCATAACTACGCTAACTTTTCTGCTGTGGTGCCTGAATGGGTTGCTTTTGGTGATGAAAAAGATGATCACCGAAGAGGATTCAGACCCGGTAGTCGTCAAAAATTCTTTTTACAACATGCACGACAGAGAATATTTGTCAGGATTTATGGATCACTTGAACAACGCAGAGCAACCTTCTTCAACGCAATTTACAGCGATCCTGGAAGAAACTCTTGATTTTTCAACTATGGCGAAACAGATCCTTCTAAATTTGAATAATGCCGAAACTAACGCCTTATTTCACATTGCAGGATATCTAATGGGAAGCATAAGAAAGAACAGCACTTCATGCTCCTACTGTAGGTATACAAGATTGTATAACCAACAATCAATACGAAACTAACGATTTTAAATTGGCTCACTACTTGACTAGCCTATTGGTCCCAAGCAAATCGATTAACGTATCCTATTCTAGTCAAAATTCTAGTACTACACAATGTTTTTTTTTTATTCGCTATGAAAGTTTGACAGATAAAATGAGGGGTTATTGGATTTTCCTTTGTTTCGAGGGGTGAATCGATTAGCGATTAGGGTCCCGAAGAAAATCATTATTATTTTTGGCTCACTCAGTACCAGAACAACGGTCCCAAGCAGTCCCAAGCTATTTCACTCACCTCTGCATGTTTTGCATGAATCCACACACCCCTGATGTTATCTGTCAAACTTTCATAGCGAATCAAAACAAACATAGTGTAGTAATAAAATTTCAACTAGAATAGGGTACGTTAATCGTTTGCTTGGGACCAATAGGCTAGTCAAGTAGTGAGCCAATTTAAAATCGTTAGTTTCGTATTGATTGTTGGTATAACTGTGTCTCCGTTTGATAAAAGTTATGGCAAATTCTCATGTTTACTAGCAAATGCGAGCGGAAGGCCTCATGCCTATGTTTCGAAAGAAATATTTTATTTCTTTACGTGTATGGACTCAATTTTCAAAAAAAAATTTCACTGACAAGGCATCAACTAACAGAAGTGTAATCCTTCAGGCACAAAAGACATTGATGTCGCTTCCGCTGCAAATTCAGAATTGCCATAATATCAAATTCAAGCTTGTTAAAAGATTTTTGCTCTTCAAAATTAAAACTAACAGAGTTCGCACAGACAAACAGACATAACACTCATAAGTTGTTCATCGTACAAGCATTTAACGGTCAATTTGAAAGTATCTCAGTTGGTAGTACTGCCGCCTGAGGCGCGCATAGAAAATTCCCTTGCGTTTGACGTTTACACACTACCGCCATCTGTGCAGCGTACTACCCACCACAGTGTACTCAACAGGTGGCGGTAATGTTTTAGCGACGATGTTTTACAATGAGAAATATTCAATGTGTTATGTCTGTTTGTCTGTGGAGTTCGTATCTTTAGCGGTGGTCTGATCTAGATCCAAATTTATGTCACATTTGAACCAGCTAAAATTAAAATGATCAAGCCAAAATAGATCAAACTGTGTGCGTACGCACCGGTTGGTCTATTTTTTGCCGTTCTATTTCAAACGTCAAAACCCGAGTCATAACCAACTCACACCCTGATTTTGTGGTCAGCCATTTTTTAATCTCGTGCGCATTCGTACACGGTTTTTATCCGGTAATTACCGTGAAATTGACCTCCGATGGCTGTCTCCGGGATTGATGTGCGGCTTTAACAAAAAGCCTTGAACTGCTCGTCCTCCTGCTTCTCGTGAAATAATAATAAAAACCTGTATTTATAGAAATTTGTCTGGTATGTTGTTGCTTGTTGGGTTTTGGCCCTAGTCAGAAAGTGGACAATTCCCTGGGGGTGCTCGAAACATACCAGAATGTGGCCAATGTGGATCTGGACACCATATTTGACTTAAACTGATCTTGTTTTTCAATTTCTGTGAGATTATATGTGTCAAATCACAGGGTTTGGACCATATCAGAAACTAGTCACTTCTCTAGGGGTTGCTGAAAGATGGCTGGAAGTAAGAAAGGTGGTCCTGGGCACATTATTTGACTTCCATTGATCTTGGTTTTGAAATCTAATGTGATTTGCTATGTGGAGCATGATGGGTTTTGGATTAAATCAGAAACTGGCCATTTCCTTGGAGGTGCCCGGAACATATCCGATAGGGGTCAACATGATTCTGTGCATTATATTTGACTACTATTGATATTGCTTTTGAAATCTAATGTGATTTGATGTGTCACATGATGAGTTTTGGACCAAGTCAGAAACTGGCCACTTCCCTGGGAGTTTCCATAACATGCCCGAAAAATCCTACAGAACAGAAGCGTCCGGATGTTTCCCTTGTGATCCTTTCGCAGCTGCGACGACAGGGCTGGCAGCAATAGCAGCACCGATAGCGCGATAGACCTGGAACTACACCAATGTCAACAGCAGTCGATTGTTCCGCCCACGTTTCTTAGAAAATCGAGGAACTAAATCGGTTTGTGTTGCAGAAAAAAACCCCAACAACGAAACAAAACAAAACAAAATCTCGAGTGCAACAGCTGTCAAACTAGTTTGGAACAGTGCTTGCCTTGATCCAAATTCAGTTTAAAATAGATCGAGAATTAAACTGGTTTAAAAATAAATAAATTTTAGAACTAGTCTAAAACAAAATATAGACCACCAGTGCAAGGGCTCGGTCTGGATCTGTTCCAAAATTTTAGACCGAACCAACCAATTGGATCGCCGCTAAAGATGTTCTTATTGTTGCAACAGTGTAGCATCCTCGGAAAGTGTAACGTTGTTGATCCTCGTCATGTAATATCTGCCAGAATTCATTGGAACATTGAAACCTTCCATAATCAGGGTTTTTCGCTGAGTTCCTGCACTTTTGGCGATTATGAGTGAACTAAACTCAAATTTGAGTCATTCTCATTCGCCGTGTAGAGTTTCAACTTCCTCTACCGCTTTACTCCGGTGTTCTTCCAGATACATCATGATCTACTTTCAATCAATGTTCCGGTGATCATAATTGATTTCCGACCATTGTTCCGGTGGTCTTCCAGACGCACCTTGCACCATTTCATGTCACTGGCCACAAACCATTTATGAGCATCATACCGGTGATCTTCTAGACGCACCTTGGACCATTTCATGTCACAAAGCATTTGTGAGTAACATTCCGGTGGTCTTCTAGACGCACCTTCGACCATTGTAGATCACAAACCACTGACACCCATATTCTGGCGGTCATCTAGACACGCCATCGCATTTTTAGGTTATTTCGATACTCCGATCACAGATGTCTGTGCTCCGATGGTCTGCGAGACACATCCATATTTCAGTCAAGACAAAAAAAAATTAAAATCCGATAGTAGTTTTCCGGCTAGTTCCACCTATCCGGAGAAAAGCCTGATTGTTCCGGGGTATGGTTTGGTGTCTGTTGTGGGAGTTCTCCGGAGAGCTTACCTATGCGACCATATAAGCGGTCGTGGTCCGAGGGCAAAGAGGTCGAGAGACGATTGCTGCGTGTTCTCGTTGTGATTGTCACCCGTTGCATCTGCTGAGGAGTGCGCAGGGTTATGTGCATGATGGATAGTGGGCGGCTCGCATCTCTATGCGGAGGGTATTTCTCCCTTTTTATGGCACGACCTGTTGGTCCATTTTAGAAAGGAGAGTATTTGATACCGCACAGATGCAACTGAATGATGTTTCATTCTATAAATGGAGGGTGATTTGGTTCAGTGTATGTGGAGCAGTCCAGTTTGTGTTTCAACCAACAATACCAAATCCATACACATGCATGCCTGTGTTCTTGACCAACTATTCATCAGTAGCAACAGTAGTGGTAGCTAGTAGCCAGCTGGTGCAGCTGAATGTAGTAAACAAGTGCTTAGAGTTTCACCCGCAAGTGCCCTGCTAATTTGTGATGAGTCTTCATTTTTGACGACGCGAAGACGATACCCATAATTTGTTTATCGGCACCCTTCCGCACTTCGTTATCAACTTTCAGTCGCCACTTATCAGCAAACTTGGACAGAAGTAGAAAAATCCATTCCTTCGAGCAACAGGTAGATTTCTCAGTGTTTCTAAATTTCTATTTTTTCCATTCAAGGCTTTCCAAAATTAACTCCTTAAACAATCAGTAATGGATTTGCACAGCCCCTATACAACAGAAGAAGCAATTGCTATCGAGAAGGAATTCACTCGAGTGAAAGGTAAGCCGGGCAAATATATTCAAAAGAGAAAGAACTTTGAAAGCTTGAAATTAAGGAAATTATTAGCAAATAATTACCAAGTAGTAAAATTCACATAGAAAAATGCTACCTCGATCATGCCGGAACGACCCTGTACGCGGAGTCACAAATCCAAGCCGCCTGCGAAAAGCTCGCACAGAACCTGTACTGTAATCCGCACACGAGCCGAACGACGGAAGACCTGCTGGATCAGGTCCGTTACCGGGTGCTGCGTCACTTCAACACCCGATCCTCGGAGTATAGTTTGATTTTTACCTCCGGTACCACGGCCAGTTTGAAAATCGTAGCCGAGTGCTACGACTTTGATCCCGAGGGAGCCTTCGTCTATCTAAAGGACAGCCACACGTCAGTGCTGGGAATGCGGGAAATCGTTGGAACCGAGCGGATCTATCCGATCGAACGGAAGCAGCTACTGAAACAGATCGAGTTCGATGGTAGATCGAGCAACGAACATTCATCCTTGGTAGTCTTTCCAGCTCAATGCAATTTCAATGGGGTTAAGTATCCTCTGGAACTGATCCAGAAGATACAAACCGATGGAATAGAAGGCTATGGAAAGGAGCAGTTCCGGGTCTGTTTGGATGCGGCCAGCTTCGTGTCCACTAGCTTCCTAGATTTGTCCAAGTACCAACCGGACTTTGTGTGCCTTTCGTTTTACAAGGTTTTTGGGTATGTTTAAATTGTCTGGTATAATCCAACAGTTGAGATATTTTTCTTTTCTTCAGATACCCCACCGGGTTGGGAGCCTTGTTGGTCCACCGCAGCGCTACGAATCTACTCAACAAAAAGTACTACGGTGGTGGAACGGTCAAAATAGCCATGTCCGGAAGAAACTTCCATGTGAAGCGAGATTCCCTCGCGGAGCGCTTCGAAGATGGAACGATTGCCTTCACTTCAATTATAGCCCTGCTGCAGGGATTCGAAACTCTCGAACGATTAGTTCCTTCAAGCGCAGGGCTACGCTCAATCGAGCGGATATCTCAACAAACTTTCCATCTGGGAAGATACTGCTTTCAGCGATTAAAGGCTCTCCGCCACTCCAATGGAACTGAAGTCGTCAGACTTTATCACGATTCGGAATTCAGCGACAGGCGCCTGCAGGGAGGAATCGTAAACTTCAACATCCTCCATGAAGATGGAACCTTCGTAGGATTTGCCGAAGTTTCCTACATGGCCAGCATCCATAACATTGTGCTGAGAACGGGCTGTTTCTGCAATCCAGGAGCATGCCAAAGGCTGCTTGAACTGACGGACGACGACATCCTGAAGCAGTTTGACGCTGGACACGTTTGCGGCGACGCAAACGATCTCATCGATGGACAACCCACCGGTTCCGTAAGAGTATCGTTTGGCTACATGACCCGGAAAGAGGACATCGATCGCTTGATCGAAATGATCGAGAAATGCTACATCAGGAAGTCCTTAGCCAACGGGCTAACGCGAGCGCAGATCGTTTCCAACTACAAGACCCACGATCAACCTCGACTTAAGATGATCTGCCTTTTCCCGATCAAGTCCTGTGGAGCGTTCAAAGTAACGACCAGATGGCCTTTGAGTCATAAAGGGCTCAAACACGACCGAGAATTTGTCATCGTAGATGAGAATGGAGTTGCCGTAACGCAGAAGAAGCTAACCGAAATGTGCCTTATTCGACCTCGGATCGACCTGAACAACAACGAGATGATCCTATCCCATCCGTCGATGGATGATTTCGTGCTGGATTTCACTTCCTTATCGGACGTAGATGATACGCAACAGGTGAAGCTCTGTCAGACCAAAGTATGCCAGGATAACATCCAAGCGATCGACTGTGGGGACGAAGTTGCTGACTGGATCAGCGTAGCCCTACAGACGTCCGGTCTCCGTTTGCTAAAGCAATCCGACGAAGAAGTGCGAACCTTCCAGAAATCGGAGAAGGAAATTTCCCTCTCCAATCAGGCACAGTTTTTGTTGATCAATCAAACTTCGGTTCGATGGTTGGCTGAAAAGGTCCCCGATTGGGATGAGCTGCATGAAGAACCTGCGTTGGAATCGTTGGTCGATCGCTTCCGAGGGAATTTGATTGTTGAAACTTCCAATGCAATGGAGGAATGCGATTGGAAGCAGGTAACGATAGGTGTTATGGAATTTGGGGTGGATGGACCATGCTCTCGCTGCCAAATGATTTGCATCGATCAGGGGAGTGGAATCAAGACGACGGAACCGCTGCGAACGATCGCACGGGAGTTCAAGGGGAAAATGCGCTTCGGAGTCTACCTTTCCCACGTGGGTATGCTCAGGGATGGTTCGGATGAACAGTGGTTGTACTGTAATTGTACGGTGCAGGGACTAGTCGCATAACATGTTGGTTTTATTGGAGTTGTAAGGACACTTACCTTTGATTGAATCCGAAATCCTACTGAACAACACAATCCGTGATGGGTTGTTCTTTAACCTTGGCCACCGGGCGGCCTTCCTTGGCGGCTATCACATTAGTTACGACTTCCTCGTAGTCCGGGAAAGCCAGCGAGTTCAGCTTCGAGTGGACGAGGCTGTCATTGATCTGCACCTCGAACGAACCTCGACGGCCGATTTTGCACGCTACCTGGGCACCAGGGATGCGCTCCTTGATCAGGTGGCTCAGTTCCAGGCACTGGGGTTTGGAATTGCAGATGTTGCTGGAAATGAGCGAATGCGAATGATGAACGAGATCAGCATAGGTTTGGACTTTTTTTTAACTGAATTGGACCATTTCTGAATTGATTTTGTGTCAACTATTTGAAGCAGAGGATTGAAGGCTCAAATGTCAATTATTCAAGTGTTTACTTGTATTTGTTTTGGGGTTTTCTGAAATTTATTCGGCCTATTCTGCGCGGCGCCCGCATAAACGCGAACCATAAATTGACCTTACCTAAAATGGTTAAAAATTGTTTATAATCCCTGCTAAACTTTAACTGAAATGGTTATGGAACTTTACATGAACGTTTAATGATAAAGTTTCAACCTTATGTATTATGGTTTTTTGGAACTGGACCTTACAAATAATGGGTTGTTAAGAACCATTACCGTTCCAAATTCTTGTTTTCTCCATACATTTTCGGAAAGAGAACTATATAAGAACCTTTTAACTTATGGTTTGAGAACTTTAATGGTAATGGTTATGGTAGTCAGTAAGGTCCACGAAAGGTTTTGTAACATCGATCAACTTTATGTGGAATATATCGCGAATTGGTTGCCTGTAATTTACTGATTACCAATTCACGATATATTCCACGTAAAGTTGAGCGATAGTACAAAACCATTAATGGACCTTACTGACTACCATAACCATTACCATTAATGTTCTCAAATCATAAGTAAAAACGTTCTTATAGTTCTCTTTCTGAAAATGTATGGAGAAAACAAGAATTTGGAATGGTAATGGTTCTTAACAACCCATTATTTGTAAGGTCCAGTTCCAAAAAACCATAATACATAAGGTTGAAACTTTATCATTAAACGTTCATGTAAAGTTCCATAACCATTTCAGTTAAAGTTTAGCAGGGATTATAAACAATTTTTAACCATTTTAGGTAAGGTCAATTTATGGTTCGCGTTTATGCGGGCGTGTAAGGTGAGGTGACTCGCTGTCACTAGTGAAGAGACAATTGGGTTGTTTAGGGGTATTGAGGTAAACACATATTCGTTATCTGCATTAAAAATGGAACCGAAAACCAAAATTTCATCAATTTTGGTACACTGGAACTATTTTAAATATGTACGATTACATTGGGCAATGTCATCACGATTAACCCTTATCGTGATGATAGCAAGGCTGAGGAGGTGCGAATCGTCGAGCGTCTGTCCACCAGGATGTGCGGCTCGAACAGCGTCTGTCTGGGATCCAGCGGCTAAAAAAGAAATGCTGTATTATGTCAGCTAAATCCAAGATGGCAGCCCCATCTACACAATAACCCGAGCGTCTGTCCACCAGGAGGTGCGGCTCAAACAGCGTCTGTCTGGCATCCAGCGGCTGAAACAAGAAATGTTGAATCGTGTCAACTAAACCTACGATGGCAGCCCCATCAACACGATGTAGGTATCGCGACCCTGGTACGGTAGCATACTAAATTATAAAAATACTCAGAAAAATGAAGTAAGAAGAAGAAAAAACGAACGGAATTTTCGGCAACTGACTCAACGGCAACGAAATAAGGACAATGAATGGAAATTCGGTTCTTGGAATGTCAGAACGTTAAATGAACCTGGACGAGTGGGTCTTCTGGCCCGTGAACTGCAAAAGGTGAATGTGAGTGTGGCTGCTATTCAAGAAGTACGGTGGCTTAGATCTGGAGAACGTGAATTCAGGGCGGTAGATCCTATCGCCAACACATCGTTCAAATACCATATCTACTACAGCGGTGGCGATAGAGCAGAACACGGAGTTGGTTTCGTAGTGATTGGGAAACAGATGAAGCGGGTTATGCGGTGGAAACCGGTTAGCGAGCGCATCTGCGTTTTGAGGATTCGTGGCAAATTCTTCAATTACAGCCTGATCAACATCTACGCTAGGGGCACGCAATAACATTTAACTCCAACGCAGGCAACGGCTGTAATTAAATTAATTCCATTAACTACTGCTTTAATTACATTAATTACACAATGCAGAACATTAACTACTTTTTAACTCCATTAATTACAGTTGCAATTTCTTAATAAAAGTACATTAATTACATTTTCAATACTTTTAATTACATTAATTACGGATAGATAATTTTAATTACCGTCAGTACTACTTCAAAACGCATTAATTACTTTAAGTACTTTTGATTGCATTTTAACTTCAACGCACCGGTTCTTTGTATTGCGTGCCCCTCGCATCTACACACCGACTAACGATAAATCCGATGACGTGAAGGATGCGTTTTATGAAAGCCTGGATAAAACCTATGATGAGTGCCCTAAACACGACGTGAAGATTGTCATCGGAGATGCAAACGCGCAGGTCGGAAGAGAGGCCTTCTTTCGCCCAATCATTGGAACAAAAAGCCTTCACTCTGCAACGAATGATAATGGCCTGAAGCTGATAAACTTCGCTGCTGCTCGTGATATGGTTATCAGTAGCACCCACTTTGAACGCAAGGATATCCGAAAGCACACCTGGAGACACCCTAATGGCAAAACTTGCTCCCAGATCGAACACGTGTTGGATCTCGGATGCCGTAGATGTCAGGACCTTCAGGGGGCCTAATATCGACTCGGATCACTACCTCGTTGTCGTGAAAATTCGAGCGCGTCTATCGACCGTTACGAGTTCGAGAAACCGGAGATCGATGCGTTGCAACATCCAGCGTTTGACAGTAGATGGTGTTGCTGCAGAGTACCACCAGAAGCTGAATGAGCGGATAGCGGAAATCAACGTGAACGAGAATCTCAACAATCTGTGGGAAGCTGTCCACGGAGCGGTGAGCACAACAGCACGAGAGGTGATAGGTACAGCTCAGAGGCGCCCCGGAACGGGTGGTTTGACGAGGAGTGCCAACGAGTGACAGAGGAGTCGCCAGAAGCCGGATGTTGGTGTCTGGTACCCGTCAGAACAGAGAGCGGTACAGGGTAGCAAGGTCAGCCGAGAAACGAACCCATCGCAGGAAAAAAAAGGCAGTACGAGGAACGCGTTATTGCCGAGGCGCAAGAAAGTATGGAGCAGAATGATATGCGAAGGTTTTACGCAACTGTCAATGGCGTGAGGAGTAAGACAGCGCCGTCTCCCGCCATGTGCTATGACCTTGAAGGTAATCTGCTGACAGATAAAACGATGGTGGCTGCCAGGTGGAAGGAGTACTTCGAAACGTTGCTGAACGGAGAGAACGAGAGAGCATCTACAAACAGAACACACATCGACGACGATGGTCAAGCTGTGGAACCACCAACGCTAGAAGAAGTGAAAAAGGCGATACGAGAGCTGAAAAACAGTAAGGCTGCGGGGAAGAACGAGCTCCCGGCCGAACTTCTCAAACACGGAAGTGAGCAGCTGCACCAGATGATCCACCGTCTACTGCTCAAGATATGGGAGGAGGAAGAATTGCCCGCTAGTTGGTTGGATAGTCTCGTTTGTCCCCTCTACAAAAAGGGACACAGACTGGAGTGCGCCAATTACAGAGGAATCACGCTTCTGAATTCGGCGTACAAAATATTATCACGTGTTCTGGTCAACAGATTGAGACCGCTTGAGGAATCCTTCGTCGGCGAATACCAGGCTGGTTTTCGTGAGGGTCGATCAACGACGGATCAAATGTTTACCCTGCGTCAAACCTTTGAGAAGTTCCGGGAATACAACTTGCAGACTCATCATCTGTTCATAGATTTCAAGGCAGCGTACGATTCAGTAAAGTGAAACGAGCTATGGCAGATAATGCAAGAAAACGGCTTTCCGACGAAACTAATTAGGCTGATTCGTGCAACGCTGGATGGTTCAAAATCAGGTGTACGGGTTGCAGACGAGATTTCGGCCTCGTTCGTGACCTTAGATGGGTTGAAGCAGGGAGATGCTCTTTCGAACTTGCTATTCAACATCGCCCTCGAAGGAGCGATTAGGAGAGCTGGCGTGCAGATGAACGGGACCATCATCACAAAGTCGCACATGCTCCTTGGTTTTGCGGACGACATCGACATCATCAGAATCGACCGTAGAGCAGTGGAAGAGGCGTTCGCGCCTTTTTCGATAAATTCTACCAAAACGAAGTACATGGTCGCCGGTAGAAAGCGTGGGAGCAATAGTGGTGTTGATAGTGAAGTGGTGCTAGATGGCTAAAAATTTGAAGTTGTGGACGAATTTGTTTATCTTGGTACTTTAGTGACGTGCGAAAATGATGTTACCCGCGAGGTGAAAAGGCGTATTGCAGCCGCGAACAGGGCTTTCTACGGGTTGCGTAGCCAGCTGAAGTCCCGCAGCTTGCGTACGAAAACGAAATTCTCGCTGTACAAGACGTTAATTCTGCCGGTAACCCTTTATGGCCACGAATCGTGGGCATTGAAAAAGCTGCGAACAATACTCGGCGGTAAACTGGAAAATGGCATCTGGCGGCGTCGCATGAATCACGAGTTGTACCAAGTATATAGCGGCATGGATATTGTGAAGCTTTTAAAACACGGCAGGCTACAGTGGGCTGGGCATGTGGCACGAATGCCGGAAGAGCGTCAAGCGAAATCAATATTCAGAACTCACGGTCTCCCAGTGTTGGTGAGTTCTTTGCCGTTAATGTTGACGAAAAGTTCACTATTTTGACATACAGAAATTCAAAACAAAATTTTTTTTTGTGCGAATTTGGACGGTTTTTGACCTGTTCCATATAACCGGAAGGTGTACGCTGGTCACAAATGCCGTGCCAAAGTGATTTCCTACGCAATTAATTAAGCTTTGATGTGAATTTCGCTAATAAACACGAGGAGAATTTCTTATAGCAAACTTGCCATAACAAAATGGGCATGGTTCATTTTAGTATACAAACTAACAATTCTTTCGACTGTGTCACCTCTTTTACTCGCCTAGCTGCACGATGACGTCACGAATGAACGCGATGAACTCGCATTCATCAGTTTGACATCCAGTGGTGGTTTGTTTACCTTTGCTTGTTAGTCGATTCAAGTGGATTTGAGGTTTTAAATAACAAGAATTAAAATATATGATATCCGACTAGTTCGTTTGAAAAAAATTCCTCTCAAAAAAATTTAGAACACATTTAATAAATTTTTTAATTTTTTTTTCTAAGTCCATGTAAACAAACCACTGCCAGATGTCAAAAAAGTGAGGTTAACCCGATGGTGCAGCTCCCTATTGTCGGTTAACTTTAGGTTGAATATATCGCGAATAGGTTGCCTGTAAATTAATGATTACCAATTCGCGATATATTACACGTAAAGTTGACCGACAATACAAAACCATCCATGGGCCCTACTGACTACCATAACCATTACCATTAAAATCCTCAAACCATAAGTAAAACGGTTCTAATATAGTTTTCTTTCGGAAAATGTTTGGAGAAAACCAGAATTTTGAATGGTAATGGTTCTTAACAACCCATTATTTGTAAGGTTCACAGGTAAATTTAATCGGACGCCAATGAAGATATCGTTTTGAAAAATCCAATGAAAGTTATGTGTCAATGATTTTCATATAACCTAAGACAACAAATCATATGATGCCTTTGATACAACCTTAATTTAAGACACATATTTCGGAGAACAGTAGCCTCCAATAAATTAGCCAGTAGCGCAATTTTATATGAAAATCCAATCAATGGTTTTAACGTGTAATTTTCGTTCTGTGTAGATACGCTTTTAACAACCGCAGAACCAATATTCTATTAGCTGACTTTCACAGAGAAAAGATAATTTTCCCAATTTAACCTGCTGTAAATTATGAAACACTTACCAATATTCAATGTCCACCCGCACCTGATTCGATTTATCACCGCCTTTTTCCATGATTTTCCACACACGAAGCTTACAGCACACCAACACCCGCGTTTGTTTACATATTTTCCGACTCACGTAACTCCAACGATCACCACCGCTGGGCATCGTCGATATTCTTGGCGGCGCCGCGTCGCAATCCGTCAAACTTCTTCTGTTCTCTCTCTCGTTTCATCGGCAGTTTTGTTTACATTCCTCTCGCAAATTTTGACAGTTAACGGTACTTTTCTTTTGTGTTTGCTCTTCGTCGTCGCGCGAACGAACAGCTCAACTCCAGCGGGCGACGCTCGGCTCCACTCGGCGGCGGCGGCGGCGGCTGTCTTTTCGACCAGACCCAGTCGTAATGGCGATCCCGTTGCAGGTGGAGGGTTTGTGAACGAACGCGGAATTATTGGAGTTTATTCGGAGGACTTTTTTCTGCTGCCTACATTTTCCATTTGAGTTTCCCCTCCATCATCGTTGGTGCGTCGTGTGCGTAATTTTTTTTTGTTCGAAAAATAGAATTTTCTTTCGTTCGAGGAGAACCGTCGTGGCTAGTTATTGGGAAAATTTAAAAGGAAGTTTTCCTTCCGCCTGCAGCGCCCAGTGCGTCGTGTTTCTTTTGCGTTTTTTGCCCAGCGTGAGTGACAAAGTTTAAATTTTCATTGCGTGTGGTAGGGCGGCCGAGCATCGCCAAAGACGCGAGTGTGTTGGTGTGTGAAGAGTCAGAAAAAAATCTCAGAAGAAAATAAAAATAAGGTGCTGCTGTGGGGGAAGAAACCGTAGCGAAAAAGATTCGCGAGGGCTTTTTTGTCCGTCGATTGGATTTTATTGGATTCTGTGTGATTGCGGATTCTGGGGGTTTCAGTTCCCTTTCCAAATCCCCCGAGCCGAGAGTGAGAACAAACAGCAGATTGCGGCGGTGTGGGATTTCCATCGTACGGTGCCTGTGTATTGGTGGGAGCGCGGATTAATCTGATTAGGAGGAAATTTGATTAGTAAACAGGAAGAGCAAGGTGTGCAGAATTTCCAACATTGTTCAATTTATTGTTTACATAATAAATAATATTCCTGCTACCGCTCGGTGCGGAAAAGTTGACAGAATTTCTCAATCAATACGGCGAATGTTGTGGTGTGAATGTGAATCCGCCGATCGATGATTAGGAAGCGAAAATAGAAGCACAGTGGCAACCTACTTTCCGAGAGTTCAAAAGTGAATATTGCTGCCGCTGCGAGTGGGGAAAAAAAATCACCGAATCAATGTGGTGGCCCACTCTTTCTGTGTTTGTGTGTTTGGGTGATGATGATGATGGGGATGGAGATACGGATTAAGATGAGACGATGGTGTTGAACTGAACTTTATCGTCCAGTTCGCAACTAATATGTTTTACTCTCGAGGGTGTCGAGGTTGAAGATTTCCATCTCATTTGCTCGGTTTGAGGAGGTTTTTCTGAAGACAGGTTTTTGGATGGTGGAACTTGACAAATAACATCAATTTGCAATATCAGATCCATTCTGATAATGTTAAGATGAAGTTTGGCAATCGCAAATCTTACCATTAACGAAACAATTTACTTTTCGTGTTGGCACAATAATAATGGCAACTTGCGTTTAGATATCCGAGTGTTTGAATAAGTGTATATACAACACACTTGGAACAGAATACTGCTTAACAGGCATATTGTTTTTTATTTTGTACAGCTGACCAAATAAGTGGTACATTGCGTTCGGATTATAATTACACAAAGCCGAAGAGATTGTGGAAACTTTCCACTCTTTGCTATCCTGCTCTTTTCAGTCAGTCTGAGCATGAACTAGTGGAAATTTCCACCCTTGGCGGTGGATGATGCCGAAGGAAAGGAAATGGGATAGTAGAAAGCATTGGCAGGTAATCGAGGAGTTTCGTAATTAATGCTATGGAAGGTTCTTGCAATTCATTGAGTTTCTAGTCGCTCATAGTCCTCGAGGGTCTTATTGATTGAATCCTAATAGTTCTCCCGGCTGGACATGCTTATCACCAAGTAGAGTTGCATGCATCAAGCCTATACAAAACGACATTTAGGCTGTGAACCATTTACCTACTTAAATTTAACTCGTGGTTAAAATTGACATTTCGAAAATTATTTCTTATGTTCGAAAATCCAATCAGATCAATCGGTTTTCGAGCAGAACTTAGCCACGATTGTCAAGATTTAACTTCTTGTCGGTCAGAAATAACCATGCTCGGATAGCATATAGTCGCTATATTAAGGCTGTGAACCATTTGCCGAGTTAAATTTAACTCGCGGTTAAAAGTGATATTTCGAAAGTTATTTTCTATGTTCGAAAATCCCCGTGCTGTCGATCGACCGGTTTTCGAGCCACAGTTGTCAAAATTTAACTTCTTGTCTGTCTGAAATAACCACGCTCGGATAGCAGGGTCAATCGATAACTTTCCATCTGTCAAATTTTAACCAAAAGTTAAAAAAATCGCCAAATGGTTCAGAGCCTAATAATCTGGCCAATTCAATATATTGTAGACCAACAATTGAAAAGGTACTATCAATTTTTATAAACAAAACGTTGACTATTATTTCCTCGCCAATCGAACGTAAATTACCAGCATCATCGGATAGGGGAAACTTTCCCCAACCCAAAGATGGTGTTATTTTGCGTAGGCGAAACCTTTAGTCACGAGAAAAGGGTTTACGAAGTTTTGATCGCAAAAGCTGATGTGCTCTTTTCTGTTGTTGGTCGTGATTTGCTCGATTAGTTCCGCTATTTGACAGCTCAATTGGTTCCCGAGATTCTATCCGCCAGACTATGAATATAACGACTATCAGGATAGCAGGGTTAATCGATAACTTTCCATCTGTCAAATTTTAATCAAAAGTTAAAAAATCCGCTAAATTGTTCAGAGCCTTAGGTGATGGGCGACTCGCGCGGGATTCCACTGTTCTCGGGCACCGGATTTATGACAATTGGGCACTTAAAGTCTGTGAATCTGTTGAACGTTATAAAGAACGATCCACCAGAGGTAGCAGTTGAACTGACGAAGTTCCAGAAGAACGACAGAAAAGCTGTCTACCTGCCGATCTCGTTCATCCACGATGATTTGCTGGATCTCGTGGGATGAAAAAAAAAACGTCCAAGGAGATTTAGAGAGGCTTTGAAAACGCTTACACGAAGTAGTCCGTTCCTTTACAGACTCCGGTCAAGATCCAGTTAGCGAAGCTCAAAAGATGGTTAAAAGTTTGGCGAGGAGAAATCACCGGAAGACGCCAATACGCTTAATAATACTTTTTTTTTAACAGACCCGAAATATGACTGAAGCCAAGTTATCAACGAAAAAGTGAGACGATTAAGAGAATCGATCAATGTAGATTAGCCTATTTGAAATGTGACGCGAGGATTAGTTTCACTTGGAACATTGTGGCGACGCGAATTGCTGAAACATCTTCCGGGAGCTTCGACAAACATTTTCAAGAATGTCGCCTAGGAGATGAAGCCGTTGGGTCAAAGATGAATACTAAGATGAAACTGTCGGAAGAAAAACTTTCTATTTTAGTGTCCTCTTCCACGGTCCCTTTCATCCAATGAATACCCCCCGTGTTCAAGGTAATTTTGTGGTTTTGCTGCCCCCTCGGTCGAGATGAAATTTTGCGCTCATTTTTATCAAAACAAACACACCAAAATCAGAGGTGTCCCATTTTTTAATTACTCGATTAACAACTAATCGTTTTTTTTTGTTCGCTGTGCTACCATTTTTCCACCAATGAAAGTGCAGCACATGTTTGAAATGTTCGGTGATGATCCTCTGGAGAAGTTAATGCTTATATCGGCATGATATAACCGATTACAAATATTTTACTTTTCGGTTCGTTAATCGATTAATCGATAATTCGAATGAAAATCGGTCATCACTAGATGAATGTGAAACGTCATTTCAAATATATGGACCGTACATAAATAATGATACGATTTGAAAGGGACCGGGGCTCATCACAAATTACGTCCACACGGTAACTGAAATAAACACGAGTGTTCACCGGTTGGTTGGGTGGTCTTGAAAGAATTTCGAATCAAGCGATTATGAACAAGCTATTTCTGCTTTTAGATCAGTTAACCATAGCACAAACCTTTCCGGGTAATCCGCTGCCAGAAAGTACGCCTGAACAGATCGCTAATGAGTCGCTTACCGTGACAATCAAGGAATTTAATCACTATCCTGCAGCGGGTATGGCGTACGATCGATGGTTCTCGAAGTATGAAGATTTATTCACCGCAAACGGGAGGGATCTGGATGACGCAGCAAAACCGTCTATTGATGCGAAGCCTCAGCGTTCCGGTTAACGAAAAGTTTTGAAACTACCTCCTGTCATGGCACCCACGGTATTACACTTTTGAAGAAGTTATGAAGCAGCTGAAATCCATTTTCGGACTCCACAAGTCTCAGTTCAGTCAACGGTACGATTGCCTACGAATCGTGAAAAACGAAGCGGATGACTGCGTTACTTACGCTGACATCGTGATTTGCCAGTGTGAGGATTTCGAATCACCCAAGAATATAATTGAAACACTTCGAAACGTAGTTAACCACTGCAGAAATTTTCAGTTTCGAAAGTATTGAATAACTTATGAAAAGTTCGAAATCACTTCAGAGAAGTTTGAACTAACTTCGGAAAGTACTGGATCACATCGGAAAAGTTTTGAACTACTTCAGAATTTACTGAATCATTTCAGAAGAATTAACAATCTTTGTGAAAAGTACTGAATCATTGCGGAAAGTTTGTAATGATTTCCGACTTCATTGCGGAAAGTCTGTAATGATTTGAAAATAATTGAATCAATTAGGAATGCACTGAATCACTTCCAAACAGTTTCGGAATCACTGGGGAAAATACTGATTAGCTTCAGAAAAGGTCGGAAGTACTGAATCGCTTTAGAAAAGTTCATAATCACTTCGGAAAATGCTGACTCACTTCAGAAAGTACTGAATCACTTCAGTGAAATTGGGAATCATTTCCGAAAGTACTGACTCCCTTCAGAAAAGTTTTGAACAACTCCGGAAAGTCAGTTGACAGCTAAACCCCGTGCGTGAAAGACGTGTTTCTTTTATCCGTCTCGTTATCAGGTTACATGCAAATGAGTTTTCTATCAGATGAGTGCTAAACGTGAGAACACCTTGGTAGTAGACTTAAGTGTGCCGAAGCGACCAGATGCATCTGCCGTACAGAAATTCATGTACGGTGAGTTGAAACTGGACATAGCGGACGCTTTAAACATCCAGTTTCACAATGTTAGAAACTGTGTCCACGTCGAGATGGTAGATGCAGCAACAGCCAAGCGCTACTTTGCATCACACCATCTACAACACACTATGCTGTGCGAGAAAAAAAGCTTACAAAATTCGTGTGTTCGTGGAAGACGAAGCCGTTAACGTGAGAATCCATGATCTCCCTCCGAAAACACCTAACACGGTGATTATACAAAGTATGCGACCATACGGTACTATTCTTTCCATCAGCAGAGAAATGTGGAAGAATTATTTTCCCGGCATCTACAATATAGTACGTGTAGTACGGATGAAGCTCAAACAACTCATCCCTTCCGATCTGACGATCGACGATGAGACAACATTGATTACATATCGCAATCAAGCAAAACTCTGTAGGACAAAAGGCTCATTCCCGACAAAAGTGTAATAGCTCTACATCACGCATTACTGTCAATGACCCTACATACGCAGAAAAGGTCACAAACGATGAAAACAGCGAACA